CTATTGTATAGAGCCTCATCTTTTCTGAACCTTGGAGAAATTCCCTTATTTTTAAGGCCCCTCAGAACTATATCTAGCTCAGTGTTCCGTAACAAGGGCATGTAACGCGAATGTCCGATCTTGAGCACTAATTATCTATACACCCAAGGAACAATGCATGGAAGGTTCCAATAGTTCAACGATTATATCTTGATCCCCCTATATGTTCTAGGCCCTGGGATAGGCTCTGAGAAAAGAAAGCTAAAGATTTTAGAGTTGCTCCTCATGTAAGACTTCTTCCCAGGCAGGGGAAAGATGCACGGTTGCAGGGACCCCCCCACCCCACCCCACCCACACCCCCGGTGGTTCTTAGTTAAGAACAAAGGAAGTAGTCTGCATACCCAGAATATGCCCCTCTAGACACATTATCCAAGCATTGCCGGGATCTCTTAACGGATGGCTGTAAAATCGCTTAGCCCAGTCCCCAGTGGAGAATACCACTTGATCAAATTGAGAGGCTACAGAAAGTCATTGTTAATTGGCTCTCACCATTGTGAAGTTCCGAGACAATATGACATGGGGGTTGAGAGCAGCGGGTCTCACCAAGCAAACAGGGCTCTTTTCAAAGGTCACCTTTAACATTGACTAAGTTTATGATCTTGGGAAATTATTTACACCGTCTGACCCTCAGGTTCTCCATCTATAAAGTGGGGCTCATAATAATAACTGTTTCTACCTCATAGGGTTTTTTTTTTTCTGTTGGTTAAATATAAATATCATATAAATCTTTTAGGACACAGCCAGGTTCATACTAAAAATTTGATTTATGGGTTTCTGTGTAATTGGGGGCTGGCAAAAGAAATACTTCCTGCTGATGTCTGAGTAAAGGAGATGCTAGCTTGTACCTACACCTATAGCGGTTGGGTTTTTTAGTAGCAACCGAAGGGTTAATGCTGTGAGAGGGTGTGGGTGGTTCCTTTTTAGATAAAGCCACATCCCAAAGCTTCCTTTCAGCCTCTTTGCTATTGTTCAGGTTTTTCACCACTTCTTTGAAGTTTCAAAATTGACAGATGTTATTCAATAATTCCCTCCCTGCCAGATTTTTACATGTAGATTTTCAAAAAGAAAACACAGGAAATTCAAACTTGGGTGTCTGACATTGAAGGGGAGAGGATATTTCTAGAGACTTCTTCAATCAATGCCCACATACATTTCAGGGGATTTCTGTTTTTGTGTTTCTCCTAGCCTGCAAAAAGAACAGAATTTAGCAAGGAAGACCCTTTTCGTATGTGGCCAGGAATTATAAAATAAAATTATGAGTGATAAATGAGCGGTTCATTGGGGCATTTTACTCTCTTTAATGAGCTGGAGACACAGCTAAGTAATTCTGCAGTTAATATTTAAAACGTTTGAATTGTGTTGTTTCCTCATATGTGAAAAAGAGTATTCACAGTGGATCAAAATGAAGCCTCTCCAAATCCTGCCAATGTCTTACAGGTTATTAAGATAATACCTGTAGAAGAGGGATCAGCAAACTTTTTTTGTAGAAGTACAGGTAGTAAATATTTTAGTCTTTCTGGGCCAGATACGATCACTGTTGCATGAGCACCTTAGTTTCTTCTTCTTTTTTAAAAAATTATTTATTTTTATTGAGGTAACATTGGTTAATAACATTATATAAATGTCAGGTGTACAACATTATAATTTGATGTCTGTATACTATCTTGCATACTCCCCACCAAAAGTCCGGTTTCCACCCATTACCATATATTTGACCCCCTCTACCCATTTTGCCCTCCCCTCACCTCCTTCCTCTCTGGCAATCACTGCTGTATTCTCTGCATCTATGTGTTTGTTTTGTTTTGTTTGTTACTTTTTTGTTTTATATTCCACTTATGAGTGAAATCATACAGCTTTTGTCCTTTTCTGTCTGAGTTATTTTATTTACCATAGTACCCTCTAGGTCCATCCATGTTGTTGCACATGGCAATGTTTAATCTTTTTTATGGCTGAATAGTATTCCATTGTAGATATATACCACATTTTCTTTACCCATTCATCCACTGATGGACACTTAGGTTGTTTCCATATCTTGGCTATTGTCAGTAATGCTGCAGTGAACATGGGATGCATGTGTCTTTTTGAATTGGTGTTTTCATATCGTTGGATAAATACCCAGGAGAGGAACTGCTGGGTCATGTGGTAGCTCTATTCTTAATTTTCTGAGGACCCTCCATACTGTTTTCCATAGTGGCTGCATGAAATTACAATTCCAACAGTGTACCAGGGTTCCCTTTTCTCCACAGCCTCTCCAGCACTTGTTATCTCTTGTCTTTTTTATAATAGTCATCCTGACAGGTGTAAGGTGATATCTCATTGTGGTTTTTATTTGTATTCCCCTAATAAGTAGTGAAGTGTCTCCCCTTTATAAGAAAAGAAAAACCTTTAAAAGTGGAAAAAACCAACAATATTCTTAGCTCACAGGGCTGTACAAAAACAAGCCACGGGACCTTGGGTGATAGTTTGCCAGCCCCTGAGGCAGAACATAAAAAATGGGAGGGACATTGTCCACCAGAAGTAATCATTCACTCCGCTTCTCCAACAAACACTGGCTGAGCACGATAACGTGCTCCATCTTGAGCCTGTCTCTGGGTATATTATGATGATCCCAATAGATCTGGCCTTTACCCGAGCAGAACCCACTTTCTCGTGGGGGAGACAAGCAATCAGAGAACCAAACCGACTTACGATTATAAGACGTCTTATAAATAATAGTTACAGATAAGTAAGTACTTGAAGCAAACACATTCATTGGACGCTTCAGATAACAGAGGTGGAGTTGCAGGGAGGAAATGTTGTTTTCAGCTGTTGCACCTGAATGTTATTTCAACTGGCCCCTTAATTTTCCTCTCCAGGCTCATACTGTGCCAGACAACAGGGACAGTCCATACTTCTCCATTAGAGCTTGCTTTTTCTGCAGTTCCAGTCCTTTCTGGTATTGCTTTATCCCACTGCCACTTCCAGCCCTAGTTCCACCTGTCCTTCGTCCCACGCAAGGCTCCCAGTGTAAGAATTCGGGTTTTCAAGAGTCAGATTATAGCCCCATTTCCTTTGCATTTTAATGCACTAATGTATCTTTCTTCAAAACACTGATTTTTTTTCCTCTTGGTTGCTGGAATTATGATATTTTGGGGTTATTTTTCCAGTTTTTTTAGTGGTATCAGATAGACTTAAGACCTAAGGTTTTCATTCTAAACTGTATAGTTAGTGAACGTTGGCATTTCCACTAAGAGTTTACTGTAAGAATAAGTCATGAATCATAATGAACCTAAAAACTCCAAATTGACATGGTACTAGCTTCATTTTTAACTAAGCTTTGTTCAGTGATAATATCAAATACAGTTTAGGTAGTGGGTTCCCGTCAAAGGATAATGGTTCTCTCCATTTTACCTGGACTATATTCTCATCACTTCTTTTTCCTCTTCAAACACCTACAGTAGGTGAAAACTGTCAATTGGATAATTACATATCCCTTTTCTGACATGATGGCTGGCTCCATACCACCTACTCAGGCTTTTTCCTCCTAGTCCCTTATGCAAAGTGTCATTGTGGGAGAATTGTGCTTTCTCAGATGGATCACATGTTCTTACTTCTTAACATTCCTTTTGCCCATCGTTGACTTTTTCCCATTCTTCATTGACCAACTCAAGCCATCCTTGCCTTCCCTGTGTCTCTCACTTTTTCCACCTCCCACCACCACATAGATTGCAGCACACCTTTAGCTCGCGTCTCAGACTAATATGTATTGCTAGGCATTTGCATGCATGGCCTAACTCCTGCCAGCCCCATAGCAGGCACTCAGGAGTGCTTTGTTTAATGAATGAATGTAGCATCTGAGCCTGAAACCTCCTCATTAATGGGAACCTTTGAGGGAATATGAATGACATATAAAGCAATAGAATTCTGGCGTGTTTGCCCAACAGAGGCAGCCTAGCACAAAGCTCTCACTGAACTACCTTTCACCATCTCCTGTCCACTAAATGATTCCATCCATGTCCTTCCCGAGAGGACAACTATTTAACCAGCTCCAACCAAGACTAGCCCATAAATCAAAGTTTGATATACATGACACTCTAGTTAGACAGCTGGTGCTAAAGACCCCTCTGTCAACCCACAGGGCCTGCCTCTGAGGTGCAGGCTGCGTTTCCTTCTTTAACTCCTCACCTCCATAAGAAAGTTGCCATGGTTGCTGTTAAGGACTTCTGTTCTGTGAAACTACCAATTACATGCACACTGAAAAGAGGAATACTGGGTGACTATAAGGTAGCTGACTTCCAAAGAGACCTGTTCCACAGATTCCCTTCCCCACCACCGATAGGCCCAGACTGATGCTTAAGGGTAGCCTGGATGTTGATCAGAACAGGACAAGCTGGAGTTTAGAAAAGAGCGAAGACCATGGCAGCACTGTGGCAATCTCTTTGTTTTTACCTCGTATAATCTATGCAAGCTTTTGGAGGCAGGAGCTGTCATTATTTCTATATCCCCAAAGCCTCCTGCAATACCTTGGGTATATAGTTAACACTCAGTAAATGCTTTGTCCATTTATTCAATCCTTATTGAGAACCTGATGTGTGCGAGGTACTGTTTACAATAGGAAAGAAGGAAGACATGGTCTCTGCTAGCATGGAGCTCTCAGTGTGCTGGGGGTGGGGAAAGTAGGGAAAGACAGATATAAAAACCACTAAGTAGAGTCATAGTTATTTAAGTTGTGCTAAAGTGTTACATAGGAAAAATGTAGGGTGCTATGAGAATATATAAGTTTTCCTAGATTTCTATTAGGGCGTGACATTTAAGCTGAAGTTTAAATGCATCCATCCCTGGAATAAAAATTCACGATATATTATTTACAAAAACTATACTGATGTTAAAACCTCTAGACACGTGAGGTATCCACCCACTTTCTCAACATGCATACCTACTCAACCCAACTTCTTCTCTCCCTTGTTTTGTTTTCACATCAGAATATTCCCCCAACAACCCTGACTTGCTGTTAGTCATATTCCAAGTGACGGGCATCAGCCTGCTGCCACCACTGGGCATTGCCATAGCCGTCATCATCACCTTCTACTGCTACCGTGTTCACCGGAAGCAGAAGCTGACTCCGTCCTGGGAGACCAGCAAGCCCCGGAAGCTCATGGAGTTCAGCGAGCAGCTTGCCATCATTCTAGAAGATGACCGCTCGGACATCAGCTCTACGTGTGCCAACAACATCAACCACAACACGGAGCTGCTGCCCATCGAGCTGGACACCCTGGTGGGGAAAGGTCGCTTCGCTGAGGTCTACAAGGCCAAGCTGAAACAGAACACATCAGAACAGTTTGAGACCGTGGCGGTTAAGATCTTCCCTTATGAGGAGTATGCCTCCTGGAAGATGGAGAAGGACATTTTCTCGGACATCAACCTGAAACACGAGAACATCCTCCAGTTCCTGACGGCCGAGGAGCGGAAGACGGAGTTGGGGAAGCAGTATTGGCTGATCACCGCTTTCCATGCCAAGGGAAACCTACAGGAATACCTCACGCGGCATGTCATCAGCTGGGAGGACCTCCGCAAGCTGGGCAGCTCCCTCGCCCGGGGCATTGCCCACCTGCACAGTGACCACACCCTGTGCGGGAGGCCCAAGATGCCCATCGTGCACAGGGACCTCAAGAGCTCCAATATCCTTGTGAAGAATGACTTGACCTGCTGCCTGTGTGACTTTGGGCTTTCCCTGCGCCTGGACCCGACTCTGTCTGTGGATGACTTGGCCAACAGCGGGCAGGTAAGTTAGACCTAGAGCCCCCTTACCTTGTCCCCGCCACCTCTTGATCCCTATCTCCTGCCTCTTGCCTCAGTCCTGCACTTTGGACACTTGCCTATGCCCCACTGTCTCTTGAGAGGATGCCTTTGATAATGAGCAGAATTTCTCCCCTGTTTTTTTCAAATCCTCCCCACTTCAGGACATGTTTCTCCTTGAGTCGATCCTCATTTCTCTTCCATTTACAGATTATTTTTCTTTGCTTCAAACAGTATTAGCATTTTACCTTTATTATTTTCCTCTCTTTATGGTTGCACTCAGCCCTTTCTACTCTGCACTGTTGGGAGTTGTAGTGGTTATTCTTATTTTTTTCATTTTTTTTTAAACCATTCTAAAAAACGTCTCTTTGAAGGCCAAATCCACGTCCATTTGGCCCCATTTGGCACAATGCCTTGAGCAGCGAAAGTGACCAATGAGTATGTGTTGTGTGAGTGATGGACTTGAGTGAACGAACAATTCCACTTTTGAAGCCTCTCACAGATTAAAATAGAAACCTTTTTAGCTAAGGAGATACTGGAAAGCAACTAGAAACTACCATCCCTCATGAATGACGGAGCCCCATGTTTTCACACACTAGAAGCTTAGCTGTGGGTTAGAGTGGAGTCTCATGAGCACCATCATTTGCCCTAGCCAGGTGCAGGAACGTGCCTCTGAAGCATTTAGTTACTGCTCAGTCAGCCCTCCAGGTCCGTGGCTACACAGGCAGTCAGGAGGTAAAAATGTTGAAACACGAACTGATTATTGTGCCAGGATCATGAGTCATACAATGACCTATTAAAAAGAAAAATTTCTTCTAATACATGCCAACAAGAAACATTCCTTAGGATAATAATGTTAACTCACTTGACCCTCCTTAGATCCTTGGGAAGGTAGGACTTCATTATTATTTAGTTCAGCTAGACATGCTGCATTATCAAATATTTAAGTGATTCTTTTCCTTAGAAATTTTTTTTTCTTTTTTCCTTTGTATTCCAGTGTTTTCATATTATCAGTCATCATCCAAATAAAACTACATAAAGACCCAGACTTGGTCTTTTATGATTTTCATGCAATTTAATTTAGTAGAGATTTTATGAAATTATACTACATCCTCGACACACTAGAATGTGCCATGGGATAAACAAAGAAGATTAAGACAGTCCTTAAGTGACCAAAACTAATGACAATTATTATTTTCACCATAAATCTTAGAGTTTTAGGAATGAAAAAACATTTATTTGCGAAAGCAAAAATAAACATCTGAAGTATCACAGATGTTGTCTCCCAGTTATCTGCAAGGATGTTATGGTGTAATATGGTGACATATATCATGGGATTAGACAAGGCAACTCTTATTTTGGCATGCTTTGTTTATATTCTTTAAAGGGTTTTCAGGAAGAGAACACCTACTTTTAAAATTAATTGCATAAGCTATACTTTTCTGTGCAGGTCTCATTATTTTAAAAAGCATTGTGCTTTTTCAAGACTAGCTGCTCATGTAGGGGATAAACATAAGCTCTATTTTGAAAATAAAAATGCAGCTGGGGATTAAATAATGGGCCTCAATGTCTGTTTTTGCTTTAGGTGGGAACTGCAAGATACATGGCCCCAGAAGTGCTCGAGTCCAGGATGAATTTGGAGAATGTTGAGTCCTTCAAGCAGACAGATGTCTACTCCATGGCTCTGGTGCTCTGGGAAATGACGTCACGCTGCAATGCAGTAGGAGGTACCTATTGACCCCCATCCTGGTACCATGGCGGACGTGCCTTCAAAATGATGTTATTTGCTTCAGACACGATTCCAGGGTTACAACAGAGTAACCCTACCATGAGAGCTTGTTGAGGTCTGGCAGTACACAGCCATTCCAGAACAATTTGGAATCGTGCTGAAAAGCCTAGGTTTTTTAATCTGAAAGCTGTTTGGAGCATAAAACTTTTTTTATCTCCTTTCTTAAAATACAACTACTTTTCTCTCTTGACATATCTCTCCACAGATATTTAAATATCTGGCAAGAGATGAACACTAACAGTATAAGAATTATTTTTGCTTATCAAATGGATAATATTCAAAAAAGTATCTGATTTTTTTTCTTTTTTGTGTGTATTTTAAGGTTTTTAAGAATTAATAAGGTTCAGGAGATGAATTTGACTCAAACTTTACTTTTATGGGCATGGCTTGCTTATGTTGGGTAAACAAGCAGAATATTTGATGTATTTGTTTAGGTTTTGAAAACCCTAGTGATGAGAGATTATTGAGGAATGCAGCATTCTTCAGGGGTGCGGAGGAATGTCATTGTTTTAGAGAGCATTGTCCCCTGAACTTCCGGGACATGAGAATGGCTGAGGTCTACATTATTTTATCTTTTTCTGACTCTCCTCTTAGTAGTTTCCGTCAGGGTCTTAGGTCTCACCTTAGAAAGTTACACATCCCATCACGGTTCTGGCTGTCTGCCAAGTCAGACCAAGCTAACTCCAATTTTGTTTTTAACTCTTTGTTTTGTACTAATTTTAGACATACGGAATAGTTGCAAAAATAGTGAAGATAGGTAATTAACATTGGTACAATACTCCTAATTCATCTATAGAATTTATTTGAATGTCCAAGTCCCCAGTAATGTCCTTGTCTGGAACAGAATCTAACCCAGGATCCCACATGTTCATTTAATGGCCATGCCTCTTTAATCTCCTTCAACTTGTGACAGGTCTAGCATTATCTTTCATAAGCTTGACACTTAGGAAGAATTTAGACCAGTTATTTTACAGGTGGCCTCTCACTTTGGGTTGCTCTGATGTTTTCTTGTGATTATATTGAGATTGTGTATTTTGGGCAAAAATAGCACAGAAGTGACATTGTGCCCTCCTCTATGTCTCCTTTTGGGGACACAAGATGTCAGTAGGCCTGTTCAATTTGATCCTTGGTGAAGATGGCATCTGCCAGGTCTCTCCCCTGTAAAGTAACTATTTCTTCCTACTCGTAATTAATACATATCATGTGGGAAGGTGCTTTAACCTGTTTCTAAAGACTAAACACCTGTATAGTAAGGGTGCTAGACCTGTTTCTTCTCGTAATTTTGCCTGCTAATTTTAGGATCCATCAGTAGTTCTTACCTGCAACGATTATTACTGTAATGTTTTCCTGACAGTGATTCTCTATTATTCTTATTCCTTTTATATTTATTATAGATATTCTACTGTAAAGGATATCTGTCCTTTCACACCCCTGTTGTTTATTCATTTAATTATGTATTTATAACCCTATGGAGCTATGGATATTTATTTTAGTCTATGAATATCCAATATTATTTGTCTTGTTTATATTGCCCCAGCTTTGGTCACTGGGCCAAACTACCCAACTTTGGCCCAAGGTGGATCTGGCTGTCCCTGTTGCTGACTCTGATTCTTCATCCTGTTTACCACCTGCTTACCCAGTTTTCCAGGGTCCAGGTCACCCCCTCTCACTAGGTACCTTGCTGTGCCATCACCTAGTTCTCTGGGTCCCTGCATGGGGACGGTTAATTCCTGTCTGGCTGACGCTGTTATTTTCTGCTTTCCTGCCTGAGATTTCTTCCCCCACAGCACTTTCAAAAGTAACTTGGTTTTTTTCCTTGCACAGTGAGATTTGTATAACCAAGTTTCAGCCACAGAGAATCATTTTCTGTTTGAAAGCTTTGACAGTTCCAAAATGAATCCTTAGGCTGGTATGAGTTGTGTCAGAGATGATGCTGTTGTCACTGTCAGAATAAATTTACCTACATTTCAGTATCTTTCCTATCCTTTCAAGCCCGCTCTTCTATGAACATGAGCTGGAGGTTGTGTCTCTGGCTTTCTCTCTGTCAGGGCAGCCAGCTCATTAGGGCCCCTTGTGACTGCCTTCACTCTTTGCAATGACTGAGGCCCTTTCCTGTTGATATTTGCTGAGTGTGGAAGAACGCGGGCTAATGGGGAGGAACGGAGTTCACCAGCTTTTATGAGACCTAAAAACAGATACAGTATAAACAGCTTTTCCCAAGGAAGGAACAGGATCTCATTTGTTCAGCTCGTCTCAGAAAACCTCTCATAACCTTTAGGGTAAGAACAGACGGCATTTGGGGAACCGGAAAGAGGCCATCCTGGTTCTCATGTTGTTTGATCTTCAGCCCACAGACCTGTTTCCCCCATCTCTGCTCAGGCCAGAAAAAAAAAAAACCCAAAGTTATTTATCTCTCTTCACTCTGGTCCAACAGAAAGCTCTTCACTTGAGTAAGTGTGTGAACTTGCGTAACAAGCCCTTTCTTCTAGCTTCTTTTAAGAGCTTTTTTTTTTTTCTTTTTTCTTTGTGGCATGTCTTAAAAAATCTTAAAGACAGATGATGTTTTTAGCCTAGTCTTCGTTTCAGACTCTTCTTTTACATTTAAAGAGTCTCTTGGAAGGTGCAGAAAGCCTGAAGATGGACGTGTGCCCTCCTAGCTGTTGGAGAAACACATGGAAGGACAGGTCTTGCTCGCAAGAAGCGTGTAGTCTACCGGTGAAACAGACTTTTGTTTTTTTTCTCCTTTTTAAAAATGTGCACGCACAGACACATTTATTACCTTACAAGGAAAATCAATCCTAATTCCCTCTAGTTGATGCTAGGCTTTCATTTATAAGGTCTGAGAGAGGGGGCAGGATGTAAAAGGGCTTTCCTTCAGCTTAAACTTCTTTGCTGTGACTTGAAAAACAACATACGCAATTACTATTTTTCATCAGCAGTCTCATTTCACAAAAAGGAAATGTGGACTATACTTAACCGTAGTATGAGGAATTATAGATGGATATTTTATTTCACAGCATAAGTCAACTAATATTCCATCCAGTTTATTCCAAGTGGGAGAACTTCTAACTGGATGAAGTCAGATACTAAGCATCCGGGGACAGTCTTGCAGGAAAATGTGAAATCCCAGCTTTCCTTCCTGTAAGCGACACCATTCTGTTCTTAGGGTTGAGCCCAAACCCTTCACATGGGTGCCAGGCCAGCCGTCGCTTGCCTCTCTAGGCTCCTGTCCACACTGTGTTCTTGTTCTGTAGTCGTCTGTATGGATGTCTCTTAGGTCGCGCCTCCAGGCTTTGTCTCATGCTGCTGACTGGGACTGGAACACTGACATTGACTTGTAAGCAGGCCAGTGCAGTTAGGCTGTGGTTACTGCCACAGAAGGGTAAGGCAGAGGGCACCGGGGGCTGCACGCCCACATCAACTAAAGGGAGCGTAGCGGTCGGGCCAGGCAGTGAGGGACAGGTCAGCTCTCAAAGGAAGGGTAAGACGCAGGAGTGTCCCCTTGAGTTGCTTCTTTATCAGCCAGCTTCTCCTCTGTGCAGAGCAGCACAGGTGAAATGGAAGAAAGACCCAGCACTACACTGGGAAGCCCTCACTCTCATCAGGTGAGAAAACGGCAAACATGATAATACCCTCCTGAAGCCAGCTGGCACAACTCTGTTAGTTAGCACAAATCCCCACCTAGGAGCTCGGAGATGGGTTGTCATAATTGAATAGAGTGGTCAGAAGGGACAGGCTTTCTGGTAGAAGAAGGCTTGGTCATGAAATAAACACAAGGGAATGATAGGTACCATGTCTTGAGCCCTTGCTGCATGGATCAGCTCATTTAATCTAACAAGGACTCTTTGAAGTAGGTACTATTATTAGCCCCATTTTATAGATGAGAAGACTGAGGCTTTGGGAGATAGGAACGTTGTGGAGCCGGGAATCAAAGCCCTGTTGTCTGACTCTAGCCCACAGGCCCTAACATTCCTCTTTGGTGCTGGCCTGACCAATGGAGAACATGTTTAATAAATGGCAGGTACAATTACCATTATTATTGTTGTTATTATTATTATTATTATTACTATTGATGAGATAGTCAGTATGCTTTGGGCATCCTGGCCTTGGACTTGAAGCCCTTCTGGAAGTACCTGATAAGACATCCACACACTGAGGAACATTCAGTGATGACCTGCCTCCCTTCTGAAAGATTCCCGGGATTGACTGTCCTGTCATCCCCTGTTAATAAAATCCCACGGCTACTAAATTCTGTAGCATGGTGCAGGCTCAGTGTCTTACATTGAGACAACCTTCTTATTCTTAAATATCTCTGAAGATATATGCATTCGTTCACTCAACAAATATTTATTAAGCATCTATTACATGGCAGCCATTATTCAAAATGCTAAGCATACAAGCAGTGAAAAAAAAAAAAAACCAAAACCATTCTCTGTCCTCAAGCGACAGCGAGTCTACTGAAGAGCTAATATTCTAGAAAGGCAGGTAATGATCAAGTATCTTATAATATCAGGGGTGCGTTGTGATGATTTTAGAAAGAAAAATAAGGCAGAGTTAGGGAATAGATACTGACAGAGGGTTTTACTTCAAATACTTTGACCATGTGAATGAATACCAAAGAAAAACTAAGAAAACAGGGCTTCATAGTTGTTTGAAGAGGGAACAAGACAGAAGGAGGTGACTGGCGTATCACTGTTTCATAATGAAGGAGAAAAGTCATGAAATCTCCATTTAGCAACGACAAACCCAGAGAGTGGGTTCTTTTACAGAGACTGGTTCTCTTTTACAAAGAAATCTCTGTCAGCTGCTTTTGGGCTGTTTGGTGTTCATGCAAGTGTTTGTGGGGTGTGTGGGAGGCGGATGAAGGCGGGGTGCCTCTCAGGCTCCCCTTGGCAAGCACAGCAGGCATGGCATTCATGTCATCCCCAGCCAAAGCTG